GTTGATAACTGTCAAGAAAGCTGAATCTGGTAAAAGGCCGCTGTAGTGAGCTATCCGGTACGAATCAAACTCATTCCACAACGGTTTGTCAGAGTGGCTTAACACGCTCAGCCGCAAAGAAGCTTAATTTCAAAACTTTACCTTTTAAGTGCTAAAAGACCTCAATTTCGTAACGTCCCCTTTTTGAAACTTCGCGCTTTGTCAACATTTTCTCCTCCGCTCACTGTTTTGACCGGTACTTCTTTTCAGTGATGCTATCAGTGCGAAAATTAGAATTGGCAAAATGGCTTAAAATTCTGTGTCTTGTGTTCACTTTCGCACAAATGTACTTGAGAAAGGCATGAATCTATTTCTTCTTCTGCCTCATCCAACTTGATAGAAGTAGATAGGTTCGCCTATCGCCCGGTTCACACCCCTCCCTGGTCTTTTGAACAGCAGTTGAGGTTTATCCTTTGTTTTCTGTTCAGGTTTGGGTTTTCAGTCCCTTCTAAAGATTACTTCAGCTCTATACGCGTAACGCTTTTCCTTTCCTAAGCTAATATAACTCCACAGTGTAACCCTCTACCTTGAGTGGCTCTTCGGCCTTGTATTGGGTGAACATTAGAAAAAAAACCCGGGTAGACTGAGTTCTCTACCTAGCATACTCTGAATTCCAAACCGTGAAAAAACCAAAGGCAAACTACTCCGCTATCTTTCCCATGAATTCAGGCAATTCACAGATAATATATAGAAAACAGAATCTGTGGAGAGCCATGTTCACCTACATGCTGAAGGAATTACTGCTGTATTAATCTTGGCCTATAAATGCTTGTAAATATAAAAACAAAACCCATTTGGTGTTATAGATATTATTACCGTTATTGTAGGATTGAGACTCAGCTTAGAAAATGAATGAAGAATTTATATTCTATGATTGTTTTTAGGTCTTAAAGAAGACAACCCCTCAACAGATCTTATCGAATAGCGCTACAGAATAAGAAAAAAATATGTTTACAAAATAAAAAAAATTACACGTCACTTGAAGACAACAGCAACAACAAAAGTAGGTAGCGCAGATAACAGGAATGGAAACTAATAATATAATTAAAATGTTCACTTTCTATATAAACTCAAACAAAAATATATAAAGGAAACTGCCACCAGAAAGAGCGATAACAGTTAGTGGACTTGATGAGCCTATTTTTCTGATAAGAGAACGATTTTATAAATATCAATCGACAGTAAAAGTTAGTGTTCGGTGAAAGAATGCCGAATACTTCCTGCATCTGAATGGCTATTCTAACCATTATCATTATCATAATTATATAGCAATCATAAATTAAGTATGTATTCTTTCTATCCCTACGACAGAGAGGAATTATTGACAGAACCAGACCCAAATAAAGAGGGCCGGCTTTACAATAGAACAGAAATAAAATTGGATTCAGCCCGTTTACATTGACATTGGTATATAAATAGCATCTCCTGTCAGTAACATACCATTTTGATGGTATGTTATCAACCGGATGCGAGGTTGAGGTATTTGGTAGGACAATGTTTACCCAAATACCTTAGATTATCGGTACTTAGTCTAACTCCGTAAAACTGCAATCTTAATTGTAACTAGGAAGAGTGTTTTATATACCCTGAAATACAGGATATTTGAAGCTAGTTCGCCGATTTTTAAAGTCGTTCATTATCTATTCACGATCTCTGATCGATTGTTGTGATTCCAGTATCGATTCTTCACAATAAGTTATCGGGCTAATTATTGATTAAATTCGACGTTTCTTTAACAAACGTACACTGACTTTAAATTGCGGGATTAATTTGGAAATGCAATATATACGTGTATGTTTTGCATATTGTAATAATGCCATTAGTAAAAACGCGCAATCCAATAAAAAGCAATTAAGTAAAAAAAAAGGAATGTGCCGATTGAGGTAAGTTTCATTTAGAGAGAAAACTTTTTTGTTTTGTTGACCTGCGCATGTTACTCACTGACCAAAACTTATTGACTCTGTCTCCATAAATTACATTAGTACATTCTAATGTACGTGCTTAAACTACTAAGTTATAAGCAGATATACCAGTGATTCTCTTGCAATTGGTAACAAATACTGTCTATAGCAGTTAATAGCAATACAACAGCAAACTCCCATCGAGATTAGAATAAACTGGACTGTCCAAAAAGGTTTTGTGGTCAGATGGCGATGGGAGCATTTACTTTTAACTATATTCAAAGTGATCGGTTTTGATTGGAATGAATAGACACGGCTGTCATATCAAAATTCTTGGTTCATTCACAGATATTGCACTTTCTAATTAATATTTATTCTGATCTTTAAAGAATTCTTTTGGAACATTGTAAACAGCACTTATGCGACACATCACTCAGGAAGATAAACTATTTCAGAAGAAGTAACATTATAAAATTGACTGAATAATAGCAGATGCTAATAGAACAAAAGGATATATATATATATGTTTTAATGTTGATATTAAAATTTAAAAAGTCTTTTAGTTTTACTTAATAAAACAAAAGAAATTTTTTTTCCAACTCAAAACCTGAAACATGGCTTTTTAAATTTTTCGAGTCAAGAGGCTTTACATGCGAATAGTAATGCTTATTGCCAATCAAAACAGCCATTTTGTCTGTGGGGAAGCGTATTTTTGGACATTTTGACTTTGGCGAATTCCACATGTGATTAAATATGTGGCAAAGATAATCCGTAACATCTCTGGGGAACAAGCAGCCTGCAAGTGGCTGAAAAAAAATTCATTGACTGCACAAAAATAGAAATGAAGTAAAGATTTCTTTTCCCAAGAGAAAATCCGAATCTTGAGTGCTGGAGTTATTATATATATATATATATATATATATATATATATATATATATATATATATATATATATATATATATATATATATATATATATATATATGTGTGTGTGTGTGTGTGTGTGTGTGTGTGTGTGGTGTAGAATGAGAAATCAGAGAGCTGAGTTCAATTCCAGTCGAGTTCATTACATTCACTTAAGTGATAATACCTTGGGAAAGCTATGAATCCGTCTCACCTCCCCCAGCTATGGGTAAATAGGAAAATTGATTGAGTTCTATAGCCTTAGTTGACAACAAATCTAGGAGAAGGAAAACTCTGAATTCAAATCATCCTGGAGATCGTTTTGGCCCCGTCAGTCTTGTCTTGGTCAATAAATATCACTGCTACTGCGGATGCAGCACGTGTACTGCCCCTACGACCCTAATAGGTTGCGGGACTGTTGATCGTGATATATAATCATTTCACCTCATGCAAGTCAATAATGCCGCGAAGACGCACAGTGTGAAAGAATATGACAAAAAGAAAAAAAAACATTCAGAAGAGATAAAACTCAAACAACAGGAATTGAGAAAACGATAACTATAACTACTGACATTTAAAGTTTTTGAAGATGAAAGTTTACTGGAAAGCCAGAAGCTGGAAAAGAGATCCACAAGTGAGAAGTGCGAGAGAAACTTTAGAACAAATATATATATACATATATATGTATGTATGTAAAATAGGTTAGTTAACAAAACAAGAACAAAGGAGTAGCAATATAATCAGTACGAAAAAGATTTATTAAATATTAATTATTAACCATATGACAGAAATGAAGCATGAAGAGAAAGGTTTTAAATTCGGAATTTTCGGACACGCCTGTGTCCTTCATCAACTGAGCGATAAATAAACAGCGAAATAGGAATTACTCACCGACAGATGTTTTTGTAGACGGTGTATTTCTGGTGGAGGTCATATTATTACCAAAAACAAGACCCTTGTCTGATTTCTCTCTGTGCGAAACATTTTATGAATAATATATATATATATATATATATATATATATATATATATATATATATATATATTGGAAAAAAATTATATATATATATTATATATATATATATATAATATATATATTAGTTGAAAAAATTATGACAAAGTGTAAAAAGTTTTCTTCTGTCGCGTTTCGTTCTTTAGGACTTCATCGGACTAAATTTGTTATGTTGATGCGACTGCGCATGCGCACGAACGAGAGATGCTGGGAATTTTAAATTTAAATATTTCGTTTAGGTTGTCTTTCTTTTTCTTTCCATCACTTTTGTTAGTAGACATTCTCCTCCGAAACTGTGATAATAGGAGATCTGCCAGCAATGGTGAAATGTTGTAATAACCCCGGCATAAATTTATTGTAGATGACCAGGTTACTCTCTAGACATTTTCGTAGTAGTGAATTGTTTAAAAATTAAATTTCCCAGCATTCCTCCTAAAAAACGAAACGCATCACAAGAAAAATTTTACACTTTGTCATACATTTTTTACCCCAATATTGTTCTTGATATATCAAAATATATATGGTTATCTCATAATCTCTCTTTCTTTTCTCTCTCTCTCTCTCTCTCTCTCTCTCTCTCTCTATATATATATATATATATATATATATATATAAAAGTGAACATAGAAGTTAACAGTTAAAGGCGACAGTCTGTTTCATGCTAGATGTAATCGTCATGGCCTGATGATTGCATCTAGCATGAAACAGACTGTCGCCTCTAAGTGTTGACTTCTATGTACACTTTTATATTTACACACGCTCTATCTTTGATATTGAGCACTTTATCCCATAAATATAGCACATCTTAAGACTATATATATATATATATATATTTATCAAGGCCTCTGAGCCGTCCATTAGGACGAGTAGCCAATCCCTGTCGCAGACATTTGTTCAGGAAATTTGTGTTTGTTCAACACCTGGAAAAGAGCGCATCATCTATTATGATTAAACACTCGGTCACGATGACTTATGCTTCTATAAAAATCGACGGTTTCAACCCGTTTGGGTCAATCTGTGGTATTATTTTCAGATATAGTTTTCATCTTTTCAAAATTTGTCACACGTGAGGATCACCTGCGTAATCCGCTAACAGCAAGAAGTTACTTTCCAAACAAATCAATCATTTGAACGTCGCTTTCAAGATCGGGAAGCGAACATTGGAGCTAATCGGCCACGCGTCTATCACTCAATCTCTCTCTCTTTTCCTATCAATCTCTCTCTCCCTCTTTTTTCCTATCACCCACTCTCTCTTTTCGTATCACTCATTCTCTCTCTTTTCGTATCACACACACAATCACTCTCTTTTCCTATCACTCTCTCTCTCTATTTGTATCAGTCACTCTCTCTCATTTCGTATCAATGACTCTCTCTCTCTTTTCCTATCACTCACTCTCTCTCTCTTTTCCTATCACCCACTCTCTCTTTTCCTATCACTCACTCTCTCCATTTTCGTATCACTCATTCTCTCTTTTCCTATCACTCACACACTCACCCACTTTTCCTATCACTCTCTCTCTCTCTTTGTATCACTCACTCTCTCATTTCGTATCAATGACTCTCTTTCTCTCTTTTCCTATCACCCACTCTCTCTTTCTTTTCCTTGCCGACATGTTTCGTGCTCTGATGGACTTTCTCAAGGCAAACGCAAGCATTTTATTTTGCAACTAGTTTTCATTGCGCGCGATATTTTGCGTGTCTATTTTATGCTGGCTTGACAAGCCATATACATAGGCAAATATATATATATATATATATATATATATATATATATATATATATATATATATATATATTGTATGGCAGCAATCCTTCATTTATACATATTTCATTAAAGACGACAGACAAGGTATTGCGATTAAGCATTTTATTTCATTTTTCTTTGTTCAAACAAATGTTTTCTTTTCTAGACGGAGAATATATAGAAACTGTCCAAATGTTTTGTAATTCTGAGCGCTTTCGGCTATACTTTTAGCCAATATTATTTTTGCTTTTTAATTGGGTGTATGGGTCGTGTGTATTTTTCTAGATTTATAGGGATGTTTTATTTTCCAAACACAGCACATTGTGGCCGTGTTAGTAGTTAATATTATTAAATGTTGGCTTTTTCTTTTTTTATTATTAAGGCTCCCATAATTTTTAATCTTTTTTTACAAGTGGATGAGGTTATTATGTTTTTGTTTTCCATTAGTATGTTTCGGATGGAGTCTGGTAAGTTTGCGTGTGTCTTTAAATGGACTCTAAAAGAGCTGTAGTCAGATAGATGTAACATAAGGCCTGAAATCACATTGTAGCGGAAAATCAACAAAGCGAGGTGATATCGTTGGGGTAAATTGAGTTCGTTGTAGCCATATTCCAGCCCTGAAGCCATGATTAACTACAGTCATCATTTGATAAGGGTTTTATTTGAAACCCTATCGTTTATGCAGATGTTTGTTACACGACGTCATCAAAATAAAAAATCGAAAACAATTTATAGGACGCCATTATTTGATTTATACGGTGTTTATATATTTCTTTTATTTGTTGTTTAATCCTTTATTGCGATTAATATATGACTAAAACTTTAACTTAACTTTTAAGAAATAGGTTTCCTTTTCAATGCCAGTTTGTGGGCGATTACAGCTTTCCAAGGATCCTTGTGAATTCCTGTAACTTCTTAGGAAAGATATTGCAATGGTTTTCAGTTACCTTCTCTATGATTTTGAATTCAGTGTAATCCTTCTCTTCAACCGGATGCTGTCCGAGGCTAGAGATCCCAATCAGCCCTATACAGGCCATATCTAGGGAGGGGAGGGAGATGGAATCATGCTTTACCCAAGGGTATTTCTACGAATGTGAAGGCAACAGTCGAGGTCGGAATTTGAACTCGACGCGCCGATTCACATTCTGAACCGATAGTTGTTACATTACCCGCACACCCTTAAGTATAATAAAAACATATTGCATATATATATATATATATATATATATATATATATATATATATATATATATATATATATATATATATATATATATATATATATATATATATATTCATTGAATAATACAGGCATATTATTTAATGAAACATATTGAAACATGTTGAAGTGCATAGAACAAACATTTCATGCCATTTTTTCATTTCTACTCATTTCTGGTTATTTCCCTTATATTGGGACGCTTGTTTTGCAAAAATTCCATAGCTACAATGGATAAATTTAAAATAATTATAGCAAAGCGCGTTCACGCGTGCTTTTTTTTTTTTTTTTAAATCCCCAACACAACGAAATGCAGGTTTCTTCAAAGTTACAATAAGTTTGTCTTTGTAATTCAACTCTGAGTATGAATTTGGAGGAGATCGAAAGTACTTGGGTAGGGAAAAACTACGGCGCATTCCTTGATGAATATTATTTTAACATCTAGAAAGGCTAGTTATACGAATGTGCTGACCGTGTTTGGAAAAAAAAATATTCATATAACTCTAGATAAATGCATAAAACAACCCATAGATTTAGTTAAAAGTAAAAATAAAATCATCCTTGATAATGGCTAAAAGTATGGCCGAACGTCCTCGGACATACAAAACATTTGAACAATGTCTACATAATTTATGGACAGAAAAGAAGGAAATTATAAGAACACGAGAAAATTAAATAAAAA